GGCTCGACCGGGGAAGGAACACGCTCTCACAGAATACCAGCGTAAAATAGCAGCTTAACGCTGCTGTGTTTCGTATGGTGAGTGTAGAGAACCGGAGACCCTTTTTACTGGCAAAGAGGCATTCCATCTTAGTCCTCACGGGTGACAATGCATCTGCATCTTGAGTCTTTATTGAGGATAGATGTAGATGTCTATGGGTCACAGTAACCACTTACCATCAGGTGGACTGTGTGCTCGTTTGTCACCCGATCCTATAAAAAAATACCATCATCTTGATATTTTGATCATTATCACAATTATCATTACATAAAACAATGTATTCCATTGCTGAAGATAGGCATCCCTCAATGAACGCAACGAAAGACGGTACTGAGCCGCTTGCATACATCGAACTCCTACTGCCAAGCAGTCACTCTATCTAGTAAGGGGCTGCCGAAAACTTTGCTTACCGGTACGGAGCTGTCACCTCAGCACATTTCTTATACATTTGCTGTCGATTATTCCAGTTGAATGGCCTACTTATTGATATTACAGCTAACCGATCTGTTGGACTTTATCGGTTACTCTGTTTTTACTGCGGTTATCATCGTTAAGGATTGTATTGCGAAAAAGCATAGCTCTCTCCTTATCTCTCTGAGTGACTTTAAGCATTGTAATATGGCCAGCAGTGAAGGACCAATTTTTAGATCCATATGTCATAACTGGCAACAAACACTGGCTGCTTAATCTTGTTTTAAGATGTTAAGGAATCCGTGAAAGAAGATGTGTCACAATTTCCCAAATGTTGTCCAATCGATGTAGGTCCGTCGATTGAGGACTTGGTCGACGTTGGACTTACTTAGTTGGACAATCTGTCCTAGGTAAACAAACATACTTGTTGTAAATTTCGAGCCTATATCCCAACAACTACCAGCACAGGTGTGATATGGACGTTTAAGATGATCGTTGTCTTGACTTGACTATGGTTAATTCTCTCAGCACTGGTTCCACTTAATCGCTTTTTAATATGACTTTCATTAAAGTTGCGTAAATCTCGTCACACGCATTTGGAGATCTCTCTCTCCAGTTGTCTATATTGATTAAAAACTGCAATTTAATTTCCGATCTAGCAGCTATGAAATTAAGAGTGTGATGGGAGATTTCCTGTTTTTCTGCGAAGGATCTTGCAAAACTTAGCCCTGACCGCATCGATAGTATTCACGAGCTTGTCATTTATATCGTCAACTGTATGTCAATGTTTTAGGCATTGCACACGATTTTGTATAACAGATACACAGATATTTAGGTACTCTGGACAAACTAATAAGCAATACCTACTAACGTAACCTACAGACGACCGATAGATATAGCAGATCTCAGGCAGAATCATTGATTTATTCAGCCATGGTTTCTCCACATCATGAACTAGCTGTATGTACGTTTGGTTAGCCATATCGTAAAACGATCTATATTCATAAATCAGGCGTGTGTGGTAGATCATGACATAATTAATAAACAGTGTATTATTTCATGATGTCAATTAAGGATCGGCCTCAATTCTTAAATAACTAACGTTATTAAAATTTTGTTACTATTTTTGTTTCCTTTCATACTTAGCTTAATTTATTAACTTAAATACACAGCAAAAGTAATTTAAATGCAAAGCAAAATTTATTTAAACAGCAAATAAAACTGTAAGTAGGAATGGCGTCGCTGTTGTCATTTCACCATCACTGCGTCAATACGTTAATGATATGATAGCGCCGATAAACTACAGGTAGAACAGGTCGTTAAACAAGTTAATTCCTTCTAATGGTTTTGTCTACGATTGTGATGTAAGAGAAACTAGTATTAATATTTTTTTTGTAAAATTAATTCAAATTTTCCGTTATCGGAGTCAAAAATTAAATATTTCCTCTACTCTAGCTACCTATACAAACTAATACATTATTACGCACTATTATTTTAAAATTTATCTAATAATGATTATAGAACTTGAAAAATAATAACTTAAAAAATCTTACTGTTTTTCTGATAGTATTCTGAAAATACAATATTGACAATTTTAGCAATGAATAAAGGTGACAAAGAGCGAGCGAATATACAATAATGGATACACGGGGATGGCGTAATGACAGATGGATCGCAAACCACGGTGAGAATGGAGCTTGCCGGCAACAACGCCATCCAGTTTTATTACACTCGATATTTCAGCGAGTAGACGTACAAAGCAACCCGCTGCGAATGTGATGAAAATACCTATAAAACATCGACTATACACAACTAGATTCCAAATATGAATACCCTTATATATTATTACTAAACTAAAATCACAATTGTTAAAAGTTATATCATATTATAAAGATTAAGAATCATAGAATTAACGGCTATTTAGGTTATGCTAGTAAAGGTATATTATTTAAATTAGTAATTTCTCATTAGAGTTTTCTTTTACTGCAGAAAAAATGAACAACTTAAACTGTTACATAATGTTGCGATCTTATGAAAATTATAGAATATGTAAGGTAAGTTATGGTAATGTTAGAAATCCTAGCCATTTCTGTTGTAAAAATCAAGTAAATTTAGTGCCAAGATTTACTAGATTTTTTCCAATTCGGTATACCGCCTATTCGGTCATTTTGTTTAATAATTCGCAGTATTCGGCCGAATACCGAATACCAAATCATGGAAAAAGTTTACGTAATATTACTCAAAAATGAACATATTTTACCAACAAAACATTATAAATAATACTTAAGTTTTATTAGAATGAAAACAATTCTTTTAGCATTTGTTGATAGCAACCGATTACGCGTTTCCTCATATACGAGTACTATACCCGCTTCTGAAAATAGCTTCTCACTGCTATGGGGCGATGATAGATATTTGTTTTGCAAATTTTGTCAGATTTGGATACTGTTGTACGTTTGCTGACCACCACTAAGGGTCTGCTGTCTGATTTAGGCTAGCCATTTTTAAATAAAAATCAATCATATTTGTAATAATACTTTTCTTTTCCATATCTTCATCTTTCTCCAGATTTTATGTAGCGACTTCCTCAAAACAATTACAGAAACTGTTGCCAGCCGAAGCGCTTCGGATAAGAACGTGGCCGAAAATTCGGGGCATCTCTAGTTTCTATTATAAGTTGGAAGCAGACGCACAACATTGTGCGTAGACCAGCTGGGAACACCGCGTAGAGGTAAGTTTACCTTTATTTACCTATTAAAACCCAGTGCTTAACCACTATTTCATAAGTGGTGGTGATTTAGCCGAAAATGGTAAAACACCCAGACTTAACTTATCAAAAGCCTAAGTATTCACCGTTGCTTTGAGGACGACACCTACATTGTCGGATAGAAAGATAGACGCTGGCAAATTTTACGTATATTGCTGTACGCATTATGAACAAATAAGCAAACCATTTAGTTTAAATGCGTCGTATGTCAACAACAATGGGGTGGAGACTTGCGGGTGAGGGTCTGGTTGGCTGACGGAGTAAGGGAAAGCGAGATGTAAAGTTATGTAAGCCTATATACACTACCCGAAATATGTGTGAACGTAAGCGCAGGTGCACTCTCTATTCCCTTCCTGGTGGGACGGTAATCCGATACGACCGGTTCGGAGACGGACGGACTGGAGTTCAAAGCTGCTAGGTGAAATTTAGCAAGAATGGCAGCATTACCCTTGTAAAACCGGACTTGCGCTTTATACAGAGTGAGAATATAAAGCCAAAAGAAGGTGCTTTCAAGACTAGGGCACTATTCGAATCCTAGATGAGAGGCATAATAAATGTGTCAAAACAAGAGACAATGCAACACAAGCCTTTGGTACTGTAGCTGGTATGAACACGATTCTAAGCCACTTGCACCTATCGATCTAGTAGAGGCGCCCTATATTTCGCTTACCTTTATTAGCATAAAACCGTGAAGTGGCGGTGTAAGAATATCCACTATACCATATCATCCCGTGGGTGTCGTAAGAGACGACAGAGGGAAACAAATCAGGAGATGGGCAGCAGCGTTTTCCTAATAACGACTAAAAAAAACTGCGGTTGCCAACCCACTGCTTATTGCTCAGGGGACCGCTTGCTTGTCAAGCGTGGCAACTATGTAAATATTCTCCCATAAGGCAATCTATGGGGGAGTCCTATGGGGGAGTTCAGCAGTGGACTTTAATATTCTGTAAAGGTAACGGCAATTAGCATGAAATATAAAAAAAATACATAAAACAGCTGGCCTGGCTGACGTTGTTCAGCTCTTGCCGGTAGGTGGCGCAATATGTTTCACTTAGTTGAGACTCGATACTAATATATTGTTAAAGTTACGATCGATATTAATATAGTTTTTTTTGGCACTAAGCTTACATATATAGTGAACATGAAGTCATTTTAACCCAAAAATATAGATTTTGATAATGACTATGGCGTCACCTATCAGTACCTAGCATATCTATAAACTATCGTCTCCATAAAACAACTATCTTGTTTGGTCATAGTACCTCAATCAATCAAGTTGCTCAGAAGTTACACAATTACTAACAGACACACCAACGGTCATTTAAATAATAGTAAAATATTTAATTTTTAAAATTATAACTTTTTATAATATTACCTATTAAATTTGATCTTTTTCCATTGCAATCTATAAATATCAGATTGACGTCCAATGTTGGTTCAAATTATTACTATTTTATGTTTATTTAGAATAATTATTGTATACGTAAAAATTACAAATGTAGGTACCTATATTTACTAGGTCAATCAGTCATCGCAGTCAGTAAAATATCTCTGTAATCTCTAAAATTTGCTTGGACAATGTTTAGGTTCCAAGTAGAATATTGAATTAATGGTTTCAATTATAGGGCAATTTTATTAGGATGGAAACACTAATTCTACTTACACTTACAAAATAGCTTCGCCTTGGCACTTAACAGCGTTCCTTCTTTATTTTTATGTTGATATAAGCAATACCATATATGTTATATATACATACATATATAATAATAGAGATATGACTTACCATCCTTGTTCATATTAGCTTGAAAGCACTTTGCAAGTCTGCAGGCGCGGCATTGATTTCGATGAGTCTTGTCCACCGGACAGCGACCTTTCATGTCGCCACCGGCCTTACACGTATACACACGGTTCCTGTGAATGGACCGCTTGAAGAAACCGGAGCAACCTATGAACGATGACAAGATTATTATAAAACGTAGAATAAAATGGAAAATGGTTAAGAAAATCTTTCTCATACCAAAACCAAATCACATACTGTTATTCATCGGGAATTGATACAATCTAATAATTTTTTATGTTTTTTTTCATGGTAAGTTATTTATAAAAATCGGGAAAATGATAATTACATTTCATTAGGAACATATTAAACTCTAATCTTTGTTACTGACTATCACGAAACTAATGGACATATACTTTGGATGTATCGAAAAGTGACGAAATAGTGTGTTATCCTTACCGTCGCAACTGTAGATGCCATAGTGTTTTCCCGAGCTTCTGTCTCCACACACATTGCAGGGGATGTCGAGCAAGCGGTCCCCTGTACAATAAACATACATCATAAATTATGCAAGAGAGTTTTTTAATAGTACACATGTGAAATTCTTTTACCCACGGCGTGATCTCCTCGATCACTTGATCTGCGACCCTCAAATATAAGGTTGAGTTATAAAATGAGTTGCCATATATTTTTTGGTAATACGTTGGTTTACCTAATAGTAAGTGACTACCGCCGCCTATGAACAACCGCAACACCACGGGAATTACAGGTACGTTGCCGGCCTTTTAGAAAAGCTCTTTTCTTGAAGGTCCCTAAGTCGTATCGGTCTGGAAAAATAATCGGTGGTAAACAATTCCACAGAAAAGTTGTACGAGGAAGAAAACTCCTTGTAAAACGTACAATTGTCGAAGATTCGAACCGCTCTGCGCTGGATACGGTCAAGTGGATGGAGCTGGTACTGGGGTGCCCCGGCCCAAAGATTGGACGGGTCTGAGCGATGGCCTTTTTTAGGGATCGGGTGGAACAAAGCTGTCTTCCATGAATTCGGGACTACGTCTTGGGAGTAGGAGTACCGGAAAAGACGCGTTAAAACCAGTGCCAAATCCAGAGCACACATCTAAGGACTCGCTAACTTGAACGTAGGGCTTGCTAACGTCCAGGGAGAGGAGAGCTTTGCGAACCGAGTGCCGCGTAAACCACACATCCGTGTGTGTGTGTACCCCCGTCTTCGAGAGTCGAGTCGAGTTGGATGCAAAGAAAGAGCCTAACGATCTGTATCGGCTTACTCCTTTGCGGCATGGGCCAGTGAGTCGTCTTCTCTGTGCAGAGATCGAAGAGATGGCTGACAGAAGTTCCCTTGGACAGCCTTGCCAAGAGACCAGAATGCACGGATTCCCAAAGGAAGGCTGACTAGCTTCTCGCCAATTCTGCCGATGTGCTCAGACCTTGCTTTGGCAATGACGCTTTTGAAGGACCTGGAGGCGGAATTATACTTCTTTTTAAGAGGTGGTGTTTACATCCCGAGACGTTAATGCATCAGCCCAGACGCGGTAGCACTCCTGCTTATAGCGTGATGCTATTTTACAGAAGCGACCAAACCATGGCTGGGATCTGCCTCCGATGGGCACCACAGATGATGGAATAAAAAATTCCATACCCAATCATCAAGTAATCAACAACAACGCTGGGATCGTTCGGCGAGGTTTGCTAGGCCCCAAGGGTAGGATACCAAAAAGACCGCATCCTATCCCAATTGGCTGACCTATGGTGCCAAACACGGTGGCAACTGCGTTGTTAGTATAAATGACTCTACAATCCGGACAAGAAAATGGTCCCACGAGCCTAGAGGGGCGTCGACGAAAACCTGATATCCATCCGGATGAGGGGTCAGCAGAAGGTCCAACAGGGAGAAGGTGCATGATCCTCAACATTTGGAATCCGCGTAGGCGAAGTAACCAGCTGTGTAAGACCATATGCCAAGGCAAAGTCATGAACAAATCTTCCCGCATGATCGGTTAAACGTGAACCAAGCCATTGGCGGGTTGGGCGTTAAAATCGCCAAGGATCACGATCTCTGCGGATGGGATCTGCTGTAGCAAGGAATCTGTAGCCAATTGGACGTGGTTGACAAATAATTCAATACGTGTAAATAATACCACTACATATTTAGGCAATACCACGTATAAATAATTTTATACGTGGTAGAGCCATGCTGCAGCTATATTAATACCTAGTCAGGTCATAAATTCTGTCAGATGTTTAATATAAAATAATTGAAACAAGTTTATTCATTATGTAGCCATTTATATACCAAAATGAACTTAACAAAACATAGATTCTTATGACACTAAAGTTTATTCAAAATGACCTCCGTGATTTTGAATACAGGCCTTCAATCTGCGCGGCCAGTCGTCTATCGCAGCACGAATGAGGTCCATGTCAATATCGGCGGCTGCCTTAATCAAGGATGTCTTGAGTGACTCCAAATTGGGATGACTGGAGGAGGGCCAATATTCGTGCCGGATGAAGTCGATTTCACGCGCCGCCAGCCAGTCTTGAGTGCTCTTTGCCCTATGAGCTGGCGCCGAATCTTGTTGGAATACCCAGTGCCTGTTATTGAACATGGTATGAGAAACAGGTTCCACAAGGTTCGTCAGGATTGTATTTTGATACACAACTGCATTCGTTTTTACACCTTTCTCACAAAAATGTACCTCTGTTAAGCCCCAATAAGAAACTCCCAACCATACCATAAGCGAGGATGGAAAATGACCTCGTTGGACACGCGGAATACGGTTGCTCGCTTCTTCACTACTGTGTGCGTACATCTTATCATTTTGTTTGTTGTAGCTCTCTTCTACGGTAAAAATTTTTTCATCCGAAAAAAGAATTTCCCGATATTTTTTTCCCGCGTACCGCTTCAACAAAGCGCGGCATCTCTTCAGTCTCAGGTCCATTAGACGAGCATTCAAACGATGTCCTGTTTTTCTTCGATATGCCCGAAGCCCTAAGTCTTCATTTAACACCCTTTTCACCGTGGTTCTGCTTAACCCCATCTGAAGGACCAACAGTTTCTGCTTACGTTTGGGATTTCTTTGAATTCGCGTCTTCACAGCTTTTATCACTGCTGGAGTCCTAACAGACCGAGGGCGACCACTTCTTGACATGTCATCTACACTAGAGTCTTCACTGTATCGTTTGATGGTACGATAAACGAATCTTTTGGTTATATTCAAATTTTTGCTATGTCAAAAATTTGAATTGGCGCGTAACCGCAACGATGCAACGTATTCAACGTACTCCATATTTAAAAATGAGTAAAATTCTAAAAAGTGTACAGTTTTATTTTCATGAACAATTCGAAATTCGAATTCAATTAACTTTTTTGTGACCAGCATTCTAAAAGAAAAGTTTTTACTGTGTGACAATACTTATGACTTGACTAGGTAGTATAGTTGTAGCACGAATGGTTCGGCTCGACCGGGGAAGGAACACGCTCTCACAGAATACCAGCGTAAAATAGCAGCTTAATGCTGCTGTGTTCCGTATGGTGAGTGTAGAGAACCGGAGACCCTTTTTACTGAAAAAGAGGCATTCCGTCTTAGTCCTCACAGGTGACAACGCATCTGCATTTTGATTCTTTATTGAGGATAGATGGAGATGTCTATGGACCACAGCAACCACTTACCATCAGGTGGACTGTGTGCTTGTTTGTCACCCTTATTCTATAAAAAAAATAATTCAATACTGTAGGAACCACCTACAGTATTGAATTATTTTCACTAATTTAGTAAAATAACTAAATTCGAGAAATTGATGCGTGCGTTAAAGCTTGTAATTGCTTTTGTGAGTAGAGACAGAAATGAAGGGAATTTGAATAATCGCAAGCGAAAACCACAAGGGCTGATTCCAGGACAAATACTGGAACAACGCCCTAAAAGAAAGCCCTAATTTAGTCCGCAACAAGGACATACCTTGTATATTTTCAAAAGTATAATTATTAATAAATTGTAAAACTAACACTGAAGAAAGGTTCTCGAGTGGCAGCCTCGTACCGGCAGGCGAAGTGTAGGGCGTCCCCCCACTAGATGGAGTGACGACCTGGTAAGATATGCAGGAAGTCGATGGATGCAGGTGGCTCAGGACCGTGCTTTGTGGCATTCTTTGGGGGAGGCCTATGTTCAGCAGTGGACTTGTGAAGGGCTGTAATGATGATGATGATGATGATGATGAAAACTAACACATATTATGGTTAATTTAGAGTTGTTGTTAGTTATAATACGGATAGAACGTAGTGTATACTCTTTGAACTTGGATTAGGATTTTACAGCTCCAATCGAGTATTGTATTATCTATCCCGTTTTCTCGCAAGTCGCCAGAAATGTTTATCTATTAATTGACACTTCCGCCAACCGCCGGGCGCCCCCTTTGCCAAAATAGATTAGTCAGATTACAACAATCTCGCTAATAACGTTGGTGTTTTTGTTCCGTTTACAGAAACCTTCCCCTTCAGCTGCCCCTTTTCCTTAACGCTTACAGGAGACTGCCTTCACACCGAGAAGGAAACTAAAACACATGATTTGAATATTTTTATAAATTTACTAAATAATTTTGTTATTGTAATTAGCGATTATACGAATAATCCCTAATTTCATACCTTATTAGTCATTATTTATAACAGTCTATCAAAAGTCCACAGCTAAGCATAGTTCTTCCCGATAAATTGCCTATCAAATATTCGTAGTTAGTGGATAAATTAAAATGTTGCTCAACACCGCAATATCATCTTAGGGTGCGTACAGATTAAGTAACGTACCACATTATGTAACATTGTTTTTCAACATTGCAACATATAACAACACTGTACACATTAGAATAACAATGCAATATAACAATGTTATATTACATTATCGTATGATATTGTCATTTGTCGTTCTGCCTTTCGAGTTATATAACACGTTTTATAACATGTTATGTTATATAATGCGTACGCACCGTTACACTTGTTACCAATAATTGTTGTTTGATGATTATTGGCATTATTATTATTATTAACCAGGCAATAGAAATGATAATTACTATAGCTGCCGCGCTTAGCAAGCAAGTTGGGAACCGCAGCTTTTTTATTAATTTGAGTAGTTATCAGAAAGATGTTACTGTCCATCTCTTGTTTCATTTTCCCCTGTCGTCTCTTACGACAGATACGGGATGATATGGGGTTGGTTGGTATGGGATATATATTAGATTATCTTACGCCGCCATTACATAGCTTCATTGCATAGGTGTTAAAATATTATAACTGTTAAAAAACTTTATTTACGATTCACGAAAACTTTATCACTGAAAATAGCTTATTTTATGCCTTTATGCGACAATGTCACATATAATAAAAACTAATTATAGTTAAATACACACATACTTAGGAGTTAAACTATTGTTGAGAACGTTATTAATTTGAATCGTTGATATAAAGATAATATGCCTTATTTTATTACTAAACGGTGTAACAGGCGGATAATTTTAATGCTGTGAATCCTTTTCAAAGATCTTTCCTTTTTT